TCATCTCACGCCTAGACTACTGCAACTCCCTCCTGGCTGGTCTACCTGCATGTGCCATCCGACCTCTGCAGCTCACCCAGAATGCAACGGCTCGTCTGGTCTTCAACCTTCCTAAATGTTCCCACACCACTCCGCTCCTCCGCTCCCTTCACTGGCTTCCGGTAACTGCTAGAATCCACTTCAAGACACTGGTACTTGCTTACCATGCTGCGAATGGATCTGGCCCTTCCTACATCCAGGACATGGTTAAACCGTACACCCCAGCGCGTGCACTCCGCTCTGCATCAGCCAAACGACTCGCTGCACCCTCGCTGCGAAGGGGACCCAAGTTCCCATCAGCAAAAACACGTGGGTTTGCTATCCTGGCTCCAAGATGGTGGAATGAGCTCCCCATTGACATCAGGACGGCAGAAAGTTTACACATCTTCCGGACTGAAAACTCATCTCTTTCGACTCCACTTCGAGCGATAGAACTATTAACGAAGCACTTTTATACTAATAAAGGACTGGCTTATCTAAAGCCAGTTGAGTAGCACTTGAAATGTTTGGCTCTATGAAACCTGATGTACTTTATGATTCTGTTTTCTTCAAGGTTGTGTCTTCCTGGTCGAATTTACTTATTGTAAGTCGCTTTGGACAAAAGCGTCAGCTAAATGCAATGTAATGTAAATGTAATGTAATCTTTAACATAGATGTGCAGGGCACTTGGGTGGGCTTGCTTGCAAACTCTACAGGTGAGGCGTTGTTTACAGTCTCTACTAATGTGGCCTATAGAGAGACAGCCAAAGCATATGCCCTTGATCTTTACAAAGTTCAGCTTGTTCCTATGTGTTTCTTCAAAGAACCGTTTGCACAGTTCCAATGTGTGCTTGCACCTACAGAAGGGACAGGAGGGTTCAGGCTCTGTTTCTTTTGGGGAAATAGTGACACCTGTGGCAAAACTGCTGTCATACGCCTTTGAGATCTGCGACTTAACAGGACATCTTTACAGCCACCTTTCCTTTGGCAGCTGACTGGTCTTGGAGGTCACCAGAAACTGGGTCTGCTGCTATGCGAGCTTGCCTTTCATCGAAATAGACAAGGTCTAAAATCCTTACTCTACGACTGCGCTCCTCTTGCAGTGCGTAAGCTTTGCTTCACCATCTCTCCCTGAGCTCGTATGGAAGCTTAAGCACAATGCTTCTCATGTTGGACACTGTGTCGAGTTCCTCCAAGTACTCCATTTCCTCCATAGCGTTGCAGCAACTCCTTAGAAACATGGCGTAATCCTGCAGCGACCTTGAATCTTCAGATTTCACTAGGGGCCAGGATAGAGCTTTTTCCAGGTAAGCACAAGAGAGTTTGTATTCGTTCCCAAAGTTCTCCTTCAGTAAACGTTTTGCTTTCTGAAAGCCTCTGTCTGGAGACATGTATTCACAGCTGTTGACTAGCCGCTGAGCTTGGCCTCTGGTGAACTGTATAAGGAACTGCAACCTGTCTCTGTTGTTGTCCGTTTTGTTTTCAATACAATGTTCAAAGGAGTGGATAAAGGACTTGTACTCCATGATGTGTCCATCAAAGGGTGGAATATTTCCTTGTGGCAGCGTCGAGAGAAGTTGTTGTTTCACAAGTATCCTCGTCAAGCTGCTTTGATTCTCCAGTATTTGAATCATGTGGTGATCCTTTGCTGTGCTGGGCGTAGGGGGGCTTTGTCCTTGTGGCAGAGTTGGCTGTGTGTTTTGGGGTATGACAGGTGGAATAGTGTGCACTGAGGTTGGTTGTGGCTGATCATTAATGCTCTCTTCATGATGAATATCAGGCCAACTGTGTGCGTCATCTTCACGGACATTCAAAAAGGGAAAGTGAAGTGGGGCGCCTGCCTTGCTCCTAACAACTGGAGCACCTCTGTCATAAGGATGAGCTGAAATACCTGGCTTTGTATCCATCAGTGTGGCAGCTGCTGCTTCAGCCTGTACAGGGCCAAGCCTGGCTAATTCATTGTCTTTAAGATAATTAATGTTGGCTGTGTTGCTGCTATTTCTGTGTGTAATTCTAGTGTTTCTCTTCTTTTCTGTAACATGTGTTCCTGTTCTTCAATGGCATGTTTTTCTTGTAACATAGAAGCTTTGGCCAATAAGGCTGCTCTCTCTGCCTCAGCATTGATGCGTAGTGAGGAGGAGGAAGAGTGGCTGGATGTTATGGACCTCACTGAGTGTGTATCCACCTCGCTCAGACCGCCGCCTTCATTTGCATATGCACCTTCTTCAGCTGGCAGACCTTCCACTTGAGTCAAGTTGAGTGAATCAGCACTATGTCAGTTATCCATTTCGTAACTTTGGCAAGGAATGAGTTTATGTCCGTACATCTCGGCTGATACCATTTCTCATCGTCCTCTTTTCTTGCGCTCTCATCCAACATTTGCGCATATGAGACATGCAAGGCTTGAAAATCAAGCGAAGGTTCGTTAAACTTCAACATATTGCCTTTGACTTCATCCAGATATTCCTTATCGGTCATTAGGTTGTTCACAATGTGCATTCTCCGTGTTAAATGCGAAGCTTTTCCTGACCTTGATGAGCGCAGCTGCGCCGCAGCCTCATGCATGTCTGCAGGTGTCGATTCCGCCTCATCAGAACTCGCCATTTTAATCCAATATAAACTTCCAGAAAGTCTTAAAGGTTTAGAAACAGTTCTTGTGGCTCCGCTATCCTTGTATTTTCAACACTTAACTCGGGTTACTTCATACGTTCATTTATAAGAGACTGTATTTCACCGCTGCTCTCTTTTTCTTCGTCACAGAGAGGTTGACAAATAAAAGACTCACTGTCCAGAAACACATATCAGCGGTGAAACCTGTTTCTAAACACTTCAGGTATTTCTTCCAAACGAATAATCCTTCAGTGATGTTTGATCTGAAAGCGCATACCTCCTCCGAAGTGTTTCTTTGTTTGCTCCGCCACGCGTCGGGCCGGCGTTTCCTTTGTCTTAGATTCCTACGATCCCTTTGATCCTCCAATAGTCCTCGTGTTTCCAATCACAGCGCGTCATTGACTAATTGTAGTGGCCAACATCCCAACAAGTCTGTCTTGTAACCTTCACCTCAACAGTGATTGTTCTTGGCCACGTGTAGAGCTTGGGCCTGGGAAGCAGTGTCAGACTCGCAGCACACAATCCACTGGACGTTTCTGTTGCTTTTCAACGTTTATTTCCAGTAAAACAAAATACGAAAACAATATTTAACATAAAGTTAAACAGCAGATCCTAATAATCTGTTTTTTGCTAAGCATAAGGTTGCGTCTGCGTGTCAATGACGGTATTGCTGCTGCCTGCTGCTCTCCCGTCACACACCGCACCTCCAACTTAAAGCCTTAGCCCCGCCCCCTTCACCTGAGCAAAGCACACCTACATACATAAATACATCTGTTGGTTTATAGGCAGGTTACAGGTTTATTGTTGACCACGTAACGTTAATGTTACAGGTTTATCAGGTTACCATTACACTGGGTTTGAGTGAGAGGATAGAGGAATATGTTTATTTATAGTAGACTTAAAAGATGTCATTAGAGACCCAGTGTAATTAAACAATACGGTTGCAGAGGTCAAACTGGCCAAATGGCTAGCCTAGCCTCATGTTGAAATGTTACCAGCCACTCAATAGATTGCCATTGTTATTTGTGGCTGGTGCGTGCAACATACAGTACCAGCCACTTGCATGATTTACCAGCATCTGGCTGGTAAATGGTGTTAATGGTAGATATCTCTTTTGGAACAGGTCATGTTTTAATATCACCAGTTCAGTATATTTCAGATAATATTGCAGCAATAGTTTTTTAGTTGCAAATGGCACAGAACAAATGTTTACTTACTTTTAACACAGTTTCCCTGCGGGGGATTAATAAAGTATTTGTGATACTGATTTCTGATTCTGAAGTGTTTTGCTTATAAGTTGTTTGCATTTAGCTAAACTGTGATGATTGTCCTCACATTGCAATAGCCTGTTTAAAGTGATCATATAACAAACAACTAATCAGTACTGATACTGTATGCTAATAGATATAGGAGTGATAATAATACAGTACATGCTTTGAATGTCTTAGATATAGCTGTGCAGTATTCTTAACAGACTGGATAGCAGCAGACAATAGAAGGCTTATTACAACCAGAAGAGACATGAGACTTTTATTTTTTAGAGACTTGAGACTTGACTTGGACTCGTGACCAAAGACTTGAGACTTGATCAAGTCTCACCCCACAAAGACTTGAGACTTGACTTGGACTTGCAAAAAAAGACTTTGTGTGTGTGTGTGTGTGTGTGTGTGTGTGTGTGTGTGTGTGTGTGTGTGTGTGTGTGTGTGTTTGTGTGTGTGTGTGTGTGTGTGTGTGTGTGTGTGTGTGTGTGTGTGACACCCTGCAAACAGCAGTGACATGCACTTTTCCTGGGTCAAATGAGTTCTGTCACTTTGGGTAACCGCACCACTCTCGAACGTCTCCCGAGAGTGGACGTCCATTATTTGTAAGGCCTCTAAATAGAGGAGCGGAAAGCATCTGTTCTGCGTCTGGATCACTCGTCCATTACGTCAGGTTAGATCCTCTTCCTCCTGTGACCTCTGACCCCGTTATACAACAAGTGTTCTAAATAATATCGCACTATAAATATAAATTAAATACACTGACATGCCAACAACACCCATAACATGGCTCCTACAGTGTGGATGTGTAGTGATCAGGTTGTGTAGATTGTGTGTTTGTTTAATGTAGTAGGCTGTGTGGTTGTGTATGTTGTGTATATTGTGTATGTTGTGTAGTAGATTGTGTAGTGTAGTGTGTTTGTGTAGCTCCTTCCTGTGTGTCTCTTATCTTGATTGTTTCTGTGTTTTTGTCTGAACTTGTAGGATTCATTTCCTCAGAGCAGGAAGTGAAGACCTTATAAGGAGTGTCCTGTGATGTCAGAGGGGGCGGGGCCTGTGCTCTATATAAGCCCTGTAGTGCAGCCTCTCTGACAGAATAACTCTCACTAAGTGATGAAGATGCTGCAGCCTCTCTGGGACCTCCTGCGGGGACACTCGTCCCTCCTGCTGTCACCCCTGTTCCCTGTGCTCTTCTCCCTGGGGGGCTACCTCACCTGCTGCCTGCCCTACCTGCTGCTGGACCTGCTGGCCCTCAGGTGGGCCTCGCTGCGCAGGTACAAGCTGCAGCCTCAGAGCTCCGTCAGCTGGGCCTCAGTGCGGAGCTGCCTGTCGCTGACACTCTACAACCACCTGGTGTTCCTGCTGCCAATCATGTGTCATGTGATCCAGTCCCTGTGAGGTCATGTGATCCAGTCCCTGTGAGGTCATGTGATCCAGTCCCTGTGAGGTCATGTGATCCAGTCCCTGTGACGTCATGTGATCCAGTCCCTGTGACGTCATGTGATCCAGGCCCTGTGAGATCATGTGATCCAGTCCCTGTGAGGTCATGTGATCCAGTCCCTGTGAGGTCATGTGATCCAGTCCCTGTGACGTCATGTGATCCAGTCCCTGTGACGTCATGTGATCCAGTCCCTGTGACGTCATGTGATCCAGTCCCTGTGAGGTCATGTGATCCAGGCCCTGTGAGATCATGTGATCCAGTCCCTGTGAGGTCATGTGATCCAGTCCCTGTGAGGTCATGTGATCCAGTCCCTGTGAGATCATGTGATCCAGTCCCTGTGAGGTCATGTGATCCAGTCCCTGTGAGATCATGTGATCCAGTCGCTGTGAGGTCATGTGATCCAGGCCCTGTGAGGTCATGTGATCCAGTCCCTGTGAGGTCATGTGATCCAGTCCCTGTGAGGTCATGTGATCCAGTCCCTGTGACGTCATGTGATCCAGTCCCTGTGACGTCATGTGATCCAGTCCCTGTGAGGTCATGTGATCCAGGCCCTGTGAGATCATGTGATCCAGTCCCTGTGAGGTCATGTGATCCAGTCCCTGTGAGGTCATGTGATCCAGTCCCTGTGAGGTCATGTGATCCAGTCCCTGTGAGGTCATGTGATCCAGTCCCTGTGAGATCATGTGATCCATTCCCTGTGAGATCATGTGATCCAGTCCCTGTGAGATCATGTGATCCATTCCCTGTGAGATCATGTGATCCAGTCCCTGTGAGATCATGTGATCCAGTCCCTGTGAGATCATGTGATCCATTCCCTGTGAGATCATGTGATCCAGTCCCTGTGAGATCATGTGATCCAGTCGCTGTGAGATCATGTGATCCAGTCCCTGTGAGATCATGTGATCCAGTCGCTGTGAGATCATGTGATCCAGTCCCTGTGAGATCATGTGATCCAGTCCCTGTGAGATCATGTGATCCAGTCCCTGTGAGATCATGTGATCCAGTCCCTGTGAGATCATGTGATCCAGTCCCTGTGAGATCATGTGATCCAGTCGCTGTGGCTCAAAGTAATTTCTAGTTTGACATTATATCTTTGTTAAATCTCCATCACATGTAAAGTCATGGCGATGTTTTCTGCAGCTGGAGGAGCCTCAGCTGGAGGAGCCTCAGGTGGAGGAGCAGCCTCAGCTGGAGGAACCTCAGCTGGAGGAGCCTCAGCTGGAGGAGCCTCAGGTGGAGGAGCCTCAGGTGGAGGAGCAGCCTCAGCTGGAGGAGCCTCAGGTGGAGGAGCCTCAACTGGAGGAGCCTCAGGTGGAGGAGCCTCAGCTGGAGGAGCCTCAGGTGGAGGAGCCTCAGCTGGAGGAGCCTCAGCTGGAGGAGCCTCAGGTGGAGGAGCCTCAGGTGGAGGAGCAGCCTCAGCTGGAGGAGCCTCAGGTGGAGGAGCCTCAACTGGAGGAGCAGCCTCAGCTGGAGGAGCCTCAGGTGGAGGAGCCTCAGGTGGAGGAGCCTCAGCTGGAGGAGCCTCAGGTGGAGGAGCCTCAGGTGGAGGAGCCTCAGGTGGAGGAGCAGCCTCAGCTGGAGGAGCCTCAGGTGGAGGAGCCTCAACTGGAGGAGCAGCCTCAGCTGGAGGAGCCTCAGGTGGAGGAGCCTCAGGTGGAGGAGCCTCAGCTGGAGGAGCCTCAGGTGGAGGAGCCTCAGCTGGAGGAGCCTCAGGTGGAGGAGCCTCAGCTGGAGGAGCCTCAGCTGGAGGAGCCTCAGGTGGAGGAGCCTCAGGTGGAGGAGCAGCCTCAGCTGGAGGAGCCTCAGGTGGAGGAGCCTCAACTGGAGGAGCAGCCTCAGCTGGAGGAGCCTCAGGTGGAGGAGCCTCAACTGGAGGAGCAGCCTCAGCTGGAGGAGCCTCAGGTGGAGGAACCTCAGGTGGAGGAGCAGCCTCAGCTGGAGGAGCCTCAGCTGGAGGAACCTCAGGTGGAGGAGCCTCAGCTGGAGGAGCCTCAGGTGGAGGAGCCTCAGCTGGAGGAGCAGCCTCAGCTGGAGGAACCTCAGGTGGAGGAGCCTCAGCTGGAGGAGCCTCAGGTGGAGGAGCCTCAGCTGGAGGAGCCTCAGCTGGAGGAGCCTCAGCTGGAGGAGCCTCAGGTGGAGGAGCCTCAACTGGAGGAGCAGCCTCAGCTGGAGGAGCCTCAGGTGGAGGAGCCTCAGGTGGAGGAGCCTCAGCTGGAGGAGCAGCCTCAGCTGGAGGAGCCTCAGGTGGAGGAGCCTCAGCTGGAGGAGCAGCCTCAGCTGGAGGAACCTCAGGTGGAGGAGCCTCAGCTGGAGGAGCCTCAGGTGGAGGAGCCTCAGCTGGAGGAGCAGCCTCAGCTGGAGGAACCTCAGGTGGAGGAGCCTCAGCTGGAGGAGCCTCAGGTGGAGGAGCCTCAGCTGGAGGAGCAGCCTCAGCTGGAGGAACCTCAGGTGGAGGAGCCTCAGCTGGAGGAGCAGCCTCAGCTGGAGGAGCCTCAGGTGGAGGAGCCTCAGGTGGAGGAGCCTCAGGTGGAGGAGCCTCAGCTGGAGGAGCCTCAGGTGGAGGAGCCTCAGCTGGAGGAGCCTCAGGTGGAGGAGCCTCAGGTGGAGGGAGCCTCAGGTGGAGGAGCCTCAGCTGGAGGAGCCTCAGGTGGAGGAGCCTCAGGTGGAGGAGCCTCAGCTGGAGGAGCCTCAGGTGGAGCAGCCTCAGCTGGAGGAACCTCAGGTGGAGGAGCCTCAGCTGGAGGAGCCTCAGCTGGAGGAGCAGCCTCAGCTGGAGGAACCTCAGGTGGAGGAGCCTCAGCTGGAGGAGCCTCAGGTGGAGGAGCCTCAGCTGGAGGAGCCTCAGGTGGAGGAGCCTCAGCTGGAGGAGCAGCCTCAGCTGGAGGAACCTCAGGTGGAGGAACCTCAGGTGGAGGAGCCTCAGGTGGAAACAGACTACAGGTGATTCACATCGAGCACCCCCCCCCTCAATGCCTAACATCAAGTGTTTTAGAAAATACAAAAACACTGTAAAGAGAGACATTTTAAAAATAGTAAATAAATAAAACAAGAATAAATTGATGTGAGCGCGCCACTCCTCTGACGGCCAGCAGGGGGCAGGCCTCCACCACAGAAGAAGAGTTTCACTGTAAAACCAAAAATGATGCAGAGAAAATAATTATTTATTAAGAACCTTAAAAACAGACAAGACACAAAGAACGAGTCCAGATGCCTTCCTCTCTCTCTGGTCCCAGGTCAGACCCTCAGACCCTCAGATCCAGGTCAGACCCTCAGACCCTCAGATCCAGGTCAGACCCTCAGACCCTCAGATCCAGGTCAGACCCTTAGACCCTCAGATCCAGGTCAGACCCTCAGACCCTCAGATCCAGGTCAGACCCTCAGACCCTCAGATCCAGGTCAGACCCTCAGACCCTCAGATCCAGGTCAGACCCTCAGACCCTCAGATCCAGGTCAGACCCTCAGATCAAGATCAGACCCTCAGATCAAGATCCTTAGATCCAGATCAGACCCTCAGATCCAGGTCAGACCCTCAGATCCAGGTCAGACCCTCAGATCCAGGTCAGACCCTCAGATCCAGGTCAGACCCTCAGATCAAGATCCTTAGATCCAGATCAGACCCTCAGATCCAGGTCAGACCCTCAGATCCAGGTCAGACCCTCAGATCCAGGTCAGACCCTCAGATCCAGATCAGACCCTCAGATCCAGGTCAGACCCTCAGATCAAGATCCTTAGATCCAGATCAGACCCTCAGATCCAGGTCAGACCCTCAGATCCAGGTCAGACACTTTACGCTGCTATGGACCGTCTGCACTAATGTACATTTCCAAAGATATTGAAGTGACTGTTATTTTGTATTTATTGATTATTGTGCTTTTATTTAGGTCTTAATGTGTGCATGTATAAATGTGTCTTTGATTGTGTATATATAGGATATACATCTTTTTATAGATATTTTTATATAGATTTGTTTCTTGTATTCAGGATTGTGGGAAACAGTATTTCGATCTCTCTGTACAGACAAACTGTGAACAGCCAATGAACAGCCAGTGAACAGCCAATGAACAGCCAATGAGCAGCCAGTGAACAGCCAATGAACAGCCAGTGAACAGCCAATGAACAGCCAGTGAACAGCCAATGAACAGCCAATGAACAGCCAATGACCAGCCAATGACCAGCCAATGACCAGCCATTGAACAGCCAATAACCAGCCAATAACCAGCCAATGACCAGCCAATAACCAGCCAATAACCAGCCAATAACCAGCCAATAACCAGCCAATAACCAGCCAATAACCAGCCAATAACCAGCCAATAACCAGCCAGTGAACAGCCAATGAACAGCCAGTGAACAGCCCGGCAGATGCTCAACATACTACAACCATTCACTCAGTAATCAAACCTTGATGTACATTTCAATGAATGGTTCTGACCTGCCCCAAAGGAGCAGAAAGCATCTGTTCTGCGTCTGGATCACTCGTCCATTACGTCAGGTTAGATCCTCTTCCTCCTGTGACCTCTGACCCCGTTATACAACAAGTGTTCTAAATAATATCGCACTATAAATATAAATTAAATACACTGACATGCCAACAACACCCATAACATGGCTCCTACAGTGTGGATGTGTAGTGATCAGGTTGTGTGGTTGTGTAGTTGTGTGTTTGTGATGTAGATTGTGTGTTTGTACGGTTGTGTATATTGTGTATGTTGTGTAGTAGATTGTGTAGTATATTGTGTAGTGTAGTGTGTTTGTGTAGCTCCTTCCTGTGTGTCTCTTATCTTGAGTGTTTCTGTGTTTTTGTCTGAACTTGTAGGATTCATTTCCTCAGAGCAGGAAGTGAAGACCTTATAAGGAGTGTCCTGTGATGTCAGAGGGGGCGGGGCCTGTGCTCTATATAAGCCCTGTAGTGCAGCCTCTCTGACAGAATAACTCTCACTAAGTGATGAAGATGATGATGCTGCAGCCTCTCTGGGACCTCCTGCGGGGACACTCGTCCCTCCTGCTGTCACCCCTGTTCCCTGTGCTCTTCTCCCTGGGGGGCTACCTCACCTGCTGTCTGCCCTACCTGCTGCTGGACCTGCTGGCCCTCAGGTGGGCCTCGCTGCGCAGGTACAAGCTGCAGCCTCAGAGCTCCATCAGCTGGGCCTCAGTGCGGAGCTGCCTGTCGCTGACACTCTACAACCACCTGGTGTTCCTGCTGCCAATCACGCTGCTGCACGGGTACCTAAGCCCCGCCCACCTGCCGGCTCAGGCCCCACCCCTTCCCCGCCTCCTGGCCCAGGTGTTCGTCTGCCTGCTGCTGTTCGACTTCCAGAGCTTCACCTGGCACCTGCTGCACCACAGGGTGCCCTGGCTCTACCGCACCTTCCACAAGGTAAGAGACTCACCTTAGACACCTGAGAGACACTGAGACTCTGAGACTCTGAGACTCACCTGAGACTCTGAGACTCTGAGACTCACCTGAGACTCACTCAGACTCACCTGGTTATCAGAATCAGAATACCTAGAATATTAAATAAATGAACCTAAAACCAGATAAAAAGTAAGAAACCCATTTAAATGCCCCCCCCCCCTCAGGTGCACCACAGCTCCACCTGAGACTCACCACTGTCTCTAAATGTTCTCCTCAGGTGCACCACAGCTCCAGCTCCACCTGGGCGCTCACCACGGAGGCGACGGGGGCGATGGAGACCCTGAGCCTGGGCTTCTTCTCGGGATGCACTCCGGTCCTCCTGGGCCTGCACCCCCTCAGCCAGCTGGGCTTCTTCCTGCTCAACATCTGGCTCTCTGTGGAGGACCACTGCGGCTACGACCTGCCCTGGGCCACGCACCGCCTCTTTCCCCTCCACCTGTACGGGGGCGCGCCGCACCACGACCTGCACCACCTCAACTCCTCCTGCAACTACGCACCATACTTCACCCACTGGGACCGCCTCATCGGGACCCTGCAGACCCGCTGAGGACGGGACTGAGGACGGGAGGTCCAGAGACAAAAAGAGATGGAGAAGGTCGGAGTAAAACGTGACGTAAATCACGTGACATTAAGCTATGTTGTAAAAGACTGAAAGAGATGGAGGTAACGTCGTGGAGATGAAGAGACAAAGATGGAAGTTGATGGAGAAAAATAAATGGAGATCAGTCTCAGAGAAAGAGACATTAACAGAGACAGAAAGAGACGGAGACGAAGAGTTGGACATTAAGCTATGGAGACAGAAAGACTGAAAGAGCTTCAGAGACAAAGCACCCAGAGAAGTTTCTGAAGGTTTGGATGCATTTAGTTAAACATCTTGTATCACGAGACACGTGTTGGAAGCTCAGATTTACAGGTTTCTGTGAACGCCTCGTCTTCTACATTAACAGAAGATTTATATTTATTATATCTTTATATTTATCGCTGCTCATTTAAAATGTATTTATTTATTTATGAACTTCTACCTCCATGTTGTTGTTAGATTATTATGAAGAGTTTTAAAGTGAGGAGTCTCTAATGAAGGAAACCTCGATGAGACGTATTTAAATGTTGAAATGTTCACATTGAACTCGTGCAACGGTGTTTAAGGAGCTTTCTGGTTCAGAGGCATATATATTTAAAGAAGGAGATGAAGTGTTGAGCTGTCAGTCTGAAGCTGGGACTGCGGGGGGACTGAGGGGGGACAAGAGTTTGCACTGAATTAAGACCATGCATGTGAAAATAAACATTATGATCTAAACACAGTTTCTCCTGTTTGATGATTCTGCTTTCCACACACACACACACACACACACACACACACACACACACACACACACACACACACACACACACACACACACACACACACACACACACACACACACACACACACACACACACACACACATACACACAAACGCGGCTGAATCGGTTGATCCATAGGTTGATAATGTATCTGTGGCTTTGAAGCAATTGTTTATAATCCATAATTCCATTTTTATGTAAAAATCGGAGCACAACAGTTAGCTGCTAATGGTAGCCACCAGAGTGTATGCAGCTTCCGGTTTTGGCTACGCGTCACTCTCACTCCTTATTTGGTAATGTGTGTGTGTGCTGGTCTGCCGCATAGCCAAGACCGGAAGCAGTAGCCACTCTGGTAGCTACCATTAGCAGCTAACTTTTGCTCTGCGATATTTACATTAAAATGGAATTATGGATTATAAATTAAATCATTTTTTTATACAGAGACGTTAAAAACCTATGGATTAACCGATTCAGCCGCGTTTTTTCTTTCTCGTTTTAATGCCATTGAACACGTCTTTTGATCAGATTGACAGCTACGGTGAGACATCTCCCCTAGAAGCTACGTAAAGGTACGTGTTGTGATGTCTGTGTTTGCTTCCCCTGTCCGAGTTCAGATCACTCAGTGATGATACTATATACCTAAATAATCTGTGGAACCTCAGCTTTAATCGAATATATTGTATGTGCAGCTACGATAAGTAATAAGGGTACATTTATCTTGAGTTCTGTGCCAAAGTGCGTTAGCATTTTTCGCTCAGGGGTCATTTAGATGCTTCTTATGAGACTTGTGTTTTGTTTTGGTATAAAATGGTTTGTATCGTCAGTTAGCTGAGATTATTTCCGTTAATCTGGTATAACATATTAATAGGTTCTTAAATATTACGATCCCCTGAGACACTGTCGTGAAAAAAAAAGCAAAGTACCCGCCGGGACTTTGGGGTTTAACAGGTTAAAAAACCCTCAATATATACCGCAGGGGGGGGGGGGGGGAATCGCGATGTCAGTTTTTTTCAATACCGTGCAGCCCTACTCTAGACCCAGCTTCTGTCTTTAGACCCAGCTTCTGTCTCTATACCCAGCTTCTGTCTCTATACCCAGCTTCTGTCTTTAGACGCAGCTTCTGTCTTTAGACCCAGCTTCTGTCTTTAGACCCAGCTTCTGTCTTTAGACCCAGCTTCTGTCTCTGGACCCAGCTTCTATCTTTAGACCCAGCTTCTGTCTCTATACCCAGCTTCTGTCTCTAGACCCAGCTTCTGTCTCTATACCCAGCAACTGTCTTTAGACCCAGCTTCTATCTTTAGACCCAGCTTCTGTCTCTATACCCAGCTCTGTTAGACCCAGCTTCTGTGGAACCAGCTCTTCTTAGACCCAGCTTCTGTCTTTAGACCCAGCTTCTGTCTTTAGACCCAGCTTCTGTCTTTAGACCCAGCTTCTGTCTCTATACCCAGCTTCTGTCTTTAGACCCAGCTTCTGTCTTTAGACCCAGCTTCTGTCTTTAGACCCAGCTTCTGTCTTTAGACCCAGCTTCTGTCTCTGGACCCAGCTTCTATCTTTAGACCCAGCTTCTGTCTTTAGACCCAGCTTCTGTCTTTAGACCCAGCTTTTCTCTTTAGACCCAGCTTCTGTCTCTATACCCAGCTTCTGTCTCTATACCCAGCTTCTGTCTCTATACCCAGCTTCTGTCTTTAGACCCAGCTTCTGTCTCTATACCCAGCTTCTGTCTTTAGACCCAGCTTCTGTCTTTAGACCCAGCTTCTGTCTTTAGACCCAGCTTCTGTCTCTGGACCCAGCTTCTATCTTTAGACCCAGCTTCTGTATTTAGACCCAGCTTCTGTCTTTAGACCCAGCTTCTGTCTTTAGACCCAGCTTCTGTCTCTATACCCAGCTTCTGTGTTCAGACCCAGCGTCTGTCTTTAGACCCAGCTTCTGTCTTTAGACCCAGCTTCTGTCTTTAGACCCAGCTTCTGTCTCTGGACCCAGCTTCTATCTTTAGACCCAGCTTCTGTCTTTAGACCCAGCTTCTGTCTTTAGACCCAGCTTCTGTCTCTAGACCCAGCTTCTGTCTTTAGACCCAGCTTCTGTCTTTAGACCCAGCTTCTGTCTCTAGACCCAGCTTCTGTCTCTAGACCCAGCTTCTGTCTTTAGACCCAGCTTCTGTCTCTAGACCCAGCTCTGACCAGCTTCTGTCTTTAGACCCAGCTTCTGTCTTTAGACCCAGCTTCTGTCTCTATACCCAGCTTCTGTCTCTAGACCCAGCTTCTGTCTCTATACCCAGCAACTGTCTTTAGACACAGCTTCTATCTTTAGACCCAGCTTCTGTCTCTATACCCAGCTTCTGTCTCTAGACCCAGCTTCTGTCTTTAGACCCAGCTTCTGTTTAGACCCAGCTTCT